TTAGTACTTATGTACATCAAATCTACATAATAATATTATACAAAAGTGAAATAGAGAGAAACCAACACCTTTATACTATTAAATATATCCACGCTTTAAATGTACTACATACTACTTATACTATTAGTAGATATATTTTATATACTTATTATTAATAGTTCTATGGTAAAGTACACTATACATATAGCACACATTATATTCAAAATATGTTCATATAAAATTATTTAGTCAAGGAAAAAGGTGGATCAATATTTCTTTTTATACGTGGGAGTACAAGAATGAAGTAATGCCTAATGTTCCGCACAATTAACATTTATCGATTACTAATCACGATGTTTAATAAGATTTGTAAAATAAAAATTTAATTTCTTTCAATCGAAACATAGAAATTTTACCACTGAATATATTAAAAATTTATTCTAATCAATCTTTTGTTTGAAAATATAAATAATTTAAAATGTGCTTTAGACATTCATGTGATTAGATTACTAGGTCAAATTCTTAATCCTTGCGTAAAAAGTATAATAATGCCCGATATAGTTTTCATGACACCATTTTATTTTTAGTCTTGCGTATAATTACGGTACAGTATTTTCGACGTTAATTTGCGCTATCATCGATCCACAATTACGACTTAACATCGGCCGAATAAATGTACCGGAAAATGAATGTTCCACGTTCAGGGACACGTTTAAATAAGGATACGCAAGCCGATAAAAGCAGCAAAGTCAATACTGCTTTATATAAAATAATAAATTACAATGTTCTAATCGCATAGCTAAAACCTTGGGGAATTATAGATTGATATTAATAAATTGTCTAAATAAAAAATGATAAAATCTATATCATCCAATAAATTTAACATTTATAATTTATATTTTAAAAAATAAATTTAACATTTATAAAATGCACAACTTATATCAATTTACACATTGGTTATTTATATCGGTTAGCATTTTAGGTGAATCGTACTTATGAAAAAACAAAACGTAGTTATGAAATATAAAAATTGTAATAAAAGTTATTTATAAAAATTTTCTGATTATTAGTTGAAAAAATGAAAATAAACTTTCACAATAAACGTAATCATTCGAGATAAATGGTTTATGAGTTTATATATATTTTTATAACATACTTGGCTACTTATAAGCATAATCGATTTTCCGATAAAGTCATGTAACTAATTTCTAGAAAAAAATTACATAAAAATTATTTAATTAGAAAATCAAACTATATGTCATTGTTTTAGATATAATTAGATAATTTCGCAGAAGTGACTGTTATGTGCATTGTCCGCCATAGAGACGTTAGCACGCTTAATTATTAACAAGACTGTATGGGTAGTATCGATGAATGAATCCTGTTGCGCAGACCGGTAGCTTTCATTGTAAAAGAGTCGATAGCTACCGTATAGTCAGTCAAGCTCGTGGGGTGAACGTTGGTGCGCGAGTTTCGCTCGCTATATTTTCTGTGATTTAGCCAGGAAATCGTAAACCAAGAAGTCTTAGAATACGGTTCTACTTGTATACGATGATTAGTATCTCAATTTCGGAAGATTCTTCGAAGAATATGCAGGAGAAGAAATGTTTTCAAAACGAAAGCGACGGTCGGTAAAACTGAAGGGAGCAGGCGTGGACTGTGGATTCGAGTCGGGCGTGGGGATGAACTCTACGGGGAATGCGAGAGGGAGGAGGACTGGGGCGCTTCCTGTGGTTGGCACTAGCCTAAAAAAGCTCCATAAACAGAATCGCGGCCGAATGTCTTTTCAATGCAACGAAAATGGTGAAGTGTGGGAAAAGGTGGGCATTGAATAAAGGCTTCGACAGCTCGAACCATGACAGAGGCGTCGGAGGAGTAAGTAATACTGTAATGATGCCTGTGGTACATCTGACGATTGTTCCGCTCGAAACCTGAAATGTCCGTGCCTATGGCTTAACTTCTCTGCTCTCCTCGATATCACGTTCGTAACGCGGTACCTGACAGTTCTGTCCGACCTTGTCTTGCCTTTTTTCCTGTCAACATTTTCGATATCTACTAGTAGTTTACATGTTTTGTGCATGTCTCAAATTTTCCTCAACCCTCAAAATATAACTAAACTCACTCTACTTCTGAGATGTGTCATGCTCGTTGGGCGTCTGTAAAAATTTACACATGTAAACGTGTGATTTTGGTCGGAGTGTTGTGTGTTTCTATGCCTGTGTAGGGGTGACCGTTCATTCATTAAATCGATGTCAGCGCGTAACATCTGCTATTTCGTTATGTATAGCAGCAATTCTTCGATTTCACATACATACATATCGGTCTTGCGCGTTTTTCAACTATATACATGATAATTTTGATATTAAAGCAATTTTTATAATTTTTATAAAATTTTGTAAAATTTTATAAATTTTTGCCAAATGTAAAATTTGTTATCAAATTGCATTTCTTCAAACATTTTATTGCTATATATATGTTTTATGTAACTGTGTATTACTTATCTCACATTAAGATATATTATTTATCATCTGTATGATATAAAAAAGTAGTATATTAGTTTTTGCATTGAGTAACAATGTGCATTATTACCTCTGTTCTTCTTTAGTTTAATAGTTACTACAATATTAAGTTCACATTCATTAACTTGTTATAATAACTTTTTGACGTTTTACTTTTAGTGGTAACTATCTGGTGAGGGTTCGTGCCCAGGTAATGACAAGGGATGATAGTTCCGGTGGTTGGGTTCCTTTAAGCGGCGGTGGTTTAGCAAATGTTTCGGTTAGAAGAAGAGCTACTTCTTCAGGTGGGCATCAGTCTAATAATACCAACGGATCTGGTGTTTCTACTTCGACTGTCATACCCTCTACTACCAACTCTACGCAATCTGTATCAACTGCAGCTGTCACTACAACCCAAAATCATGGATCTTCAAGCAGTTCCCCAATTGGTGCGACAAAGAAGAGGCACGAGTATCTTATTTATGGGAAACGGATCACTGATCAATCAGTAATAGACACAATTTCTAATAATATTTAAATATACTTTACGTTATTCAGTTACTTTGACATTACGTTATCTTTTTGTAGGTTGTTCTTAGCTGTACAATTAAAAAAGATTTTGAATATAATAAGGTAATGCCAACTTTTCATCACTGGATGACAGGGGAAAAAAGGTTTGGTTTAACATTTCAAACAGCTGCTGATGCAAGAGCTTTTGATAAAGGTGTTCGTACAGCTGTTGAAGAATTATTAGAAGGTAGTTTACTATTTTGGTAACATCTTTTAGTTGATTAGATTAAATCATATTAATATACATATTTTTACTTAAATTTATATCATATTATTTCATACCTATTATTTCACTGCTACTTTCTATGGAATGTGCAAATGGTAAGAATTAGATTATTTTTAGTATTTGATGAATCAATAAATTATGAAATTATTTTTTAACGTGATTATTTAACAAATTTCGTTTTTAATTTAGGATTGGCCAATTCAACGTTGTGCGGTAATTCATTAGATGCTGGCGATGAGGATGTTTTTATGGTATGTATTACAAATAATCTTTAGAACAATTATTATAGATATAGGGTATATACATGTGTACATATATAGAGAGAGGGTGACTCAGGATGTAGGGAGTACGGTAAAGGCAAATCCAGTACACTAAAATAAGAAAATAAGTTCGTATAAATATATATCCAATATGACCTTGCTTTCTAGTTACAGCTTATTCTATGTTGCATCAATCTCTCGTATAGATACAATGGAATTAAATTGAGTCATATAAGTATTTTATTATTAATGTAGCATTTAAGATCGTCACTTCAGAAGAATTTCTCTAAAGATATGTAAGCAAATATTACAATACAAAATAAGCTGTAATTTGAAAGCAAGATCATATTGGGTCTATTATTATTATAAAATTATCTTTTTATTTTAGTGTGCTGAATTGGCTCCCACTATATTATATATATAAACAAAATTTAATTTATTTTAGACTTTGAACTTGCCTGTGGAACCGCCGGAGCCACGTCCATTGTCTGAAACATCTCATAGTATAGTTCGGGTGACTAATTGTCATTCCCAGTGTTCAGATTTTCCTGATTCACAGAAACCTATCCATTATATTGGTGCATCATCTATAAAAGTACCACCATCGCAACATCCTTTGGCATCGACTGCTGATGCTGGATCCGATAACTATCCTTATGTGCAGCTCACAACACTTAATCACGAGTATTTATATCCTATTATCGATGATCATAAAGGTGATCGGTTAGATAGATCTAATACTGGCAGTTCTTTGAAGAAGCCAGATATTATAGTATCTGAACCCGCGAAAAACACTATGAAACGTAATATTCGATTACGATGTAAACATTGCCAAGAGCTATATACAGAACAGCATAACCCGAAAGGATCGTGTGAATTTGCACCTGATCCAATTAAACGTGGGATCGCAAAAATTTCGTGTCTGTCGTGTGCTCAGGGCATGTTATACCACTGTATGAGCGACGCTGAAGGTGATTTCTCGCAGAATCCTTGCAGGTGAGAGTTAAATATATGTATACAGGGTGTTTCTAAAATATTTATTGGGTAATTCCTCATAAAAAAAACATGAAAAAAATATACTATAATCTTTTTTTGTTTGCGACTTAATTTTCGAGAAAATCAAGTTTGAAAATTCACTTTGTACATACGATCTTGCGGCTATAGACGATATAAGTCGCTCAACGAACCGTCAACATTATTATTATTAGTCACAAGAGCGCATATACAAAGCAAATTTTCAAACTCGATTTTCTCGAAAGCCAAGTTCCAAACAAAAGAAAGTTATTCTATACCGTTTTTCATGCTTTTTTATAAGGAATCACCTGGTGCCTGCTTGTACATACCTTTCAAGGATACTCTGTATATTTGTACATTTATTAATCTTCTATAAATTAATAACTTTATGTTTTTATTACTTAACTTGTATTTATTGGAACTATTTTCTAAGATTTTGTATTAAACAATGTAAACTGTAAGTTTTTTAAAATGCATGATGTAATAATTACTGAATAGTTATATTACTACTATTTGGTTTTGGAAATATTACTAATACTTAATAATTAGCAGTACATTGTAAATGAATATTGAATTGTGCAGTTGCAGCACCGAAGAAGGATGTGGACGCAGATGGTTTGGTTTGGCATTATTGTCACTGATCGTTCCTTGCTTGTGGATTTATCCTCCACTCAGAGCTGTTCATTGGTGTGGCTCGTCTTGTGGAATGTGCGGGGGGCGTCATCATCCGATGGAATAACTGAAGGAACCCTTTGATATCTCTCCTGTCTACTCAGTCGAATCAGCCAACTTCTCTTCATCACGTGGTGCAGTAGCCAATGTGTACGAATGTCACGATTTGAGTATGGGTCGTTGTCAGAGGTATCAAAGGGGTAGACAACTTCCAGTACATGCACTTATCCATCAACGTCGTGTCTGAACTAATTTGTTTCGAAAAAAGAAGGAAAATGAAAAAAAGATACGAGCACAAATTATTGCATTTAGCCGTAATATCATGTATATTCCATACATTTTGTATATTTTATTAGCAAAATGCATTATTTAATCACATCTGTACATTAAACCGTTTGAGAATGGACGTTGTTTAACATATACTCTGAATGATTGGTCCACAAGATTAGTATTTGGACTGACCAACTATTTGTGATACACGGTGCACATTGTGGGAATTCAGTCAAGACGTGAGATATACAAAATTTTTTATTCCCAGTTTGAAAGCTAGTTTTTGCCTTGTGTGAACTCTTTTACAATGAAACTGGTAAAGGAATCGCTTGCTACATGATCACAGACTTCTTTGTTTTATGGTAATTAAATTCAAGATATTATTTATTTATTCTTGTACATTTGTTTCAGAAACATAAAGTGATTATATATTTATCACTATAATATATGTTATTCTAATTCTTTTTTGTTTTTTAAATAGATGTTTTTATGATTTCATATTTAAATCCAGTGCCGACAATATTTGTAATATATGTTTTTCATATAATCCTTTTAAAAGGAATTACATGAATTATGATGTAGAAATAAAATGTATATTTAATTTTTAAGCTTTATGCTTTTGACAAGGAAGAGTAATGGTTTTTAATCTATTTTATTAATTAGCACAAACTGGTTGTCAAAAGTTAGTTG